ACCGCGTGGAGGTCGACCTGTTAGGGTATATTGCTAGCAATGGACCTGTTAGATCTCATTACTAACAATCCCTTCCCCCCCCCTATGCATGCACTATATGGGATGCAGATGGATTATAGATGTATTTTTTTATTCTAGTTAGTAAAAAATATCCCATCAGGCAGAAGAAGTCGCAGGTAAAAGCTAGTGTAATTATAAATAGGTTTTGTAGAGTTCTTAAAAAAAAATGTAAAAAGCTTTTCTATGTTCTGTAAATTGTAGAGACTTACATGTTAACTTCAGTACCTATAGGGCTTGCAATTTTCGAGTTTTCTATCGATAAAAATAAAATAAACAATCATTTAATTTTGGAGGGTATCATGGGCGAAACAGTATACTCTGTTATATCCGTGGTACTGCTCACGTCTATAGGCGACGGTTACCACTTTCCATCAGGTGGGCCGTCAGCTTGTTTGCCATTCTAAGTTGTATAAAAAAAAAATTATGTTCATTACTTTCATCTCTTATCTGATCTGACGATGTAACCAGAGATGCAAACAGGCTGTTGCAAATATGGTTTTTTTTATGGGTGAAAATGGTATGGTAACCCCGCCTGCACTAACGGGATACGCTGGCGGAGCATCAGTGAAGGGTGATAGATGAGAATGAAAACAGGCCAGTTAGCCTATCATGATGAATTCATCAGGAATTAACTATGATAGTTTCCAGAGGGAACCACGAGGAGATCGACCTGGTTGGGTATATTGCTAGCAATGGGATTCTGTCTCCATCACTAACAATCCCTTTCCCCCCTGCAAATATGGTTAACGTCCCCACTTGTCCGCATTTCGTCAGGTATTATTTGAACTCTGCCTGGTAGAAGGTAGATTACCACCGTTTCCCGGATTAATTAGATTCATGATTAATTAAAAATTCTGTGTATTTCTAACAGAAAATCATTGACTAGTTACTAACATAGATTTTTATAAGTATCTTTACAATAATTTAATTAAAAAATATGTATACTTAAAATAACTATTAAGTTATTATATAGTATTAAAGAGAAGTATCTACAAATGTAGGTATAGAAAGCAAAGAAAGTGTTTTTTTTTTTAAATAAATGATAATGGAATGGGGGTTACCATTCTGTAACCCCCAGGGTCTGTACTATCGATATACGCTGGCGGGACACCAGTGAGATATGATAGGTGATGATGAAAGCAGGTCAGTTAGCCCATCGTGACGAATTCTATTAGAATTAACCACGATGGTTTCCAGGGGGAACCGCATGTAGATCGACCTTATAGGGTGTTTTGCTAGCAATGGGTCAGTTAGACTACATTAGGTATTAACAATCCCTTTTCCCCCAATAAAGTGGGTCAGGTTTTTTTTTAATGGGTGATAATGGTATGGTAACCCCGTCTGCGCTATTGATATATACTGGATAGGCACCAGTGCGGGATGACAGATGAAGATGAAAGTAGGTCAGTTAGCCCATCCTGACGAATTAAACTAGAATTAGTCACGATGGTTTCCAGGGGGAACCACGTGGAGGTCGACTTGACAGGGTATATTGCTAGTAATAGGGCTATTTGACCCCATTACTAACAATCCCTTTCCCCCCCAAGTGGGTCAGGTTATACGTAAGTACTTGTAGGTAAGTAGGTAAACTGTACTTATAAATTCTATTAACCTCAAGAAGGTATAATAGGATCTTATACTAATTCAAACTTATTGCCATAAATATATAATTCATAATTACACTAAGCGGTTAAACAAATTTAACGAATCGTTAGTAAATAAATAACATATCTGTCATTCGTTCAAATGTCATTATAACAATGTTACGTCTCAGCCGTCAATTAATTTGTACTTAGCTTCACACAGCAGGCTGTAGATGTTATGTCAAATTATTTGCCCGAAGCGTCAGTCGGGCGTCGGAGTGAGTGGCGTGGACCCCGTGTCACAACCCTTGACTCGACTCGTCCAGTGTTGTCTAGCAGATGTGACAGCGCGCGTCAGAACCCGCGTATCGACTCGGTAAACGGGCATCACTAGTGAATGGCCTACTGTTTTTCGAGACGTAATCAGGTTACGTTTTTTAAAGTTTTATAATAAGTGTTTAAGTTCTAATTGTTTAGAATATTCATGCATGTATTTAATGTTACAAATAAGGTTTTAGTTGAAGAAACTCTTTGGTAATTTAGTAGGGTATGTTGTTTTGTGTCAATGAGGAAACGGGTTTGACTCTTGAGTTTTTTTTTCTTGTATATGTATTGTTTTCCTTTTTTTTTTTTGGTATGTATCCACATGTAATGTTATTTGTATGCTGTAAGTGATGCAAATAAATTATCTATCTATCTATCTGTCTTGATTGAGCTAAGAAATATCCTTTTTCGTTCTGATGGTATTACTCCCAGATGTTTGCAGTTTGGGTTTAATATAACATCGGAAGTTTATCTTTAGTCCATAGATTATTTATGATTCAGTTATAAATTTCGTTTTTAATGTAATATGAATTGCTTTGGTCCATGATTAAATTAAATCCCTGTGTGGTCCCGGCATAGAAAAAGCTACACCTTCTTTTGTCCTGTGTGTCGTAAGAGGCGACTAAGAGAGGACGAGGGATGGGCAGCAGCGTCCTTCTTAAAACATCTCCAAAGCCTAACTGCGATTGCCAGTTCGCCTGCCAAGCGTGACTACTCGCAAAACCTCCAAAAGGTAGGCTTATGTTCAGCATTGGACAGTTAAAAGCTAATATGAAGCCGATGATTAAATTATCGTTAGTAATAATTACGGTAAGTATAATCTTTAGTCTATATATTGTAATAAGTTAAATGTATATATTATACTTATATATTTATACATAACATCTCTTGCACACATGTGTCCGTGAATTACGTATTTAGGGCCCACTGATAATCGGTGTTGTAGCTTCAGATGTAAGAACAAGGAATTACATAGAAGGAATGATAAAATAAAAACTGTAACTCATATGGTTGACTCCTTTTTTCTTATGCAAATATAATTAGTAAAAAGAGGACGAAAGATACACCATCAGTTGCTTTTTTTTTGTCAATTCATAGTAGGCTGGTGTACAGAAAATGTTATACGGCTGTATAATCCTACCAAATTCAGATACAACCTGCTCGCATACTTTCTACATAAACTGTGTCGAATATATAATCTAGTAATGTAAAATTTGTCATTGACAAATAATTGACATATCAAACATTTTCTATACACTAGCCTGCTATGAATTGAGAAAAATAGCAACTGATGGTGTATCTTTCGTCATCTTTTTACTAATTGTATGTTCATAAGAAAATAGGCAGTCATTATTTATTTATTTAACTCTTTATTGCACCATAAATAAAAATATACAATGACAAGTGAATAATTCAAGTGAAATACAGTAACATAAATACAGATTGAAATATACACATAAAGGTGCAAAAGGCGGTCTTATCGCTAGGGCAATCTCTTGCAGACAACCTTTGGTTAAAGGAGAACAGATAGAAGTGGGCAGGTGGCGTAAGAGTAAATTAATAATTTTTCGTGCATAAAATACAAAAACCATATGATTTACAGTTTTTATTTTATCATTCCTTCTATATAATTCCTTGTTCTTAGCTTCAGATATAAAACTATGATATATGCTGAGTTAGGTCCTTTGCACAAACACTGCTACATTCATTTTGTTTTTTTTTTTTTTATTATTTTTTTTAATTTTTTTTTTTTTATTGTTAATTAAAAAAATAATTATGTTATTATATAATTTTGTAATCTAAATTTTTGTGTTGTTTTGTCATATGTAACATGTATAATTTATATTTTTTTTTTTTCTATAAAAGAGAGTGTATCCAATCTAATGAATGATATTTGGATGTGAAGCCATAGAAAATATCTAGGTACTATGACGTCACTTTTAAAAACTATTACAACAGGTATATCTGTTTTTTTTCCTACTAGTAATACTTTATCAATATAATATATAAGTAGCTATGCCCAGTTTTTTTTGTTTTATTTATTTATTCTTTATTGTACAATAAAACTTTGTACACGTGACAGAGCTTAATGCCATAAGGGATGCATGAAGGAAGGGAAAGAAAGGAGATTGTTAATTTATATATTTTTTTATTGTTTTTTTTTATTTGTGCTTTTTTATTTTTATTCTTTTATCTCTTTTATTGTGTATTATGTGTATGTTTTTTTATTGTAATTTGTGTGCTGTAAGTTATGTAAATAAATTATCTATCTATTAATCTATCTATCCATATAGCATTCTCTAATTTTTGTATATATGTAATGAATTTTATCTGTACAACTGGTACATACAAGGTATTGAGGTACCTGAATGGTGTAACAGATTTTTATAAATAGGCCCTATAGTTAATATAATAGTATAAATAAATATAATAGCAATAAACTATTGTGAACTTATTAGATAGTCTGTTTTTAGAACTGATGATATTGAATTCTGATTACTGAATTAATTTAAAATGTACTTATAGAATATTAGACATAAATATTTATTATTTCTCGATATTAGTATCTGAGTTAAATATGAGTATTTAAAAAGCAAATAATTAAAAATCCATAATATTTATATTATGAATGTTCATAAAATATTTTTTTTTTTTTACTTTTTTTTATCATTTAAATTAATTTTCTTGTCTAAATATAGGTACTTTATTTAACTGGTATTTTATTGTTATTAAAAAGGTTAAGAGAATAATCCTATAGAAGAAATACAAACAATATATATATATATATATATATATATATATATATATATATATATATATATATATATATATATTGCTTATTAGGTAGGTAGGTACCTATGTATTTCATTTAGTCAACGGTTACCATTCAGAAGAATCATTCATTCGTTTATTCAGTGAGTCGTCAGCTTGTTTGTTTTAAATTGAAGTTGTATAAAACCTAATTTACTATTTGTACGTAATTGAGTTTATATTATGTTTGAACAAATACAATGTTTAATTTGTGCGACTTACCGGTGGGTTTGGGAACATTCCTCTTCACTTGCATCCATTTGTAAGTAGGCACCGCCGCGTGCGATGGGTGTTGCTGGTGGGTCCCGGGAATATGGCTGTGCGCACTCATGCATTCCCCCTCCCGCGGGAACCCTTCCCTCAACCCCCCAAACTCATCCTTTGGCTGATAGTGTTCGAACTCAGCACAAGGCAGGGGCGAACCCGTGTACTGTATTGCTGACTCGTCAACAAAATGCATGTTATACTTCGTCTCCAAATAATGATTGTCCAATTTGTGGTCATGCATGTGCATCTCCTCCGGCCTCGGAACATCTTCTCTGTGTTTAAAAGGCTCAGGGTGAGGAGGCAACGTGTGTAACGGATAGTTCGGCTGCAGCTCCCCATAATCCAAATTCGTATAGCACAATCCAGTGTCTGTGCTTATCACAGGGGTTGGATGATCATGCGGCGGCTGCCCGTGCAGCACAGGCTCGTAGTAATGCGACGAGGGCTCGTAGTAGCCCTCGTGGTAGGCCTCGTAAGGTTGCTGGTAAGCTGCGCCCTGCTGGTAGTACTCAGCGCTTCCGTACCCATTTTGCTGGTTGTTGTACATCCCGATGTCCATGGTCATCATGTTTGTCACGATCAACCTGTTTATCGATAACGACAACCGTTTCAAATCACACACATCACTACGGCGGCTCGATCAAAGAGCGCGCGCGGCGACTATTGGCGTTCCGGATATCGGCGAGTTCGAATTTTAAACGGGCTAGTGATGCGCCGTGCGATGGAAAACGCGCGACCGCACGTCAGGTGTGCCGACCGACACTGATCACGACGGCGCTCGCTCGCCTTAATTTTTCTTAACCACACCTAAAACTTGATTCCTCTATCTCTGTCGCACGCACTAGCGCTACATACGAGCGACGGGGACGGGCTTATCATTAAATTTTTCAATGATATAAACCCGATAAGGTTATAAGTTATTTTCAAATGGAAAATCGTCAAGGTGGTTGGTGTTACGACACATCTTGATGGAACAGATGGTACTGAGCTCGTGGTGCCGGGGGCAGGTAGGGCGATCTTCTGGAAACTTTTTGCCCGCAATGGGCGGGGTTCCGCCGGGTGGAGCTTCGGGGTGCAGTCGGCCAATCGGATTGGGCGGCTCTTTTCACCATTCAGCATTGGTCATGGCGAGATAATAGTGCGAATCTTGGAGGCTGGATGCGGGCAATGGATGGTTTTTTTTTTATTTACTGCACGCTGGTGCCCGTTTGTCCGTTTACGCTGAATGCCTTAATTTATCCCCCTGACGTAAATCGATTCCTACATAGGTGTGAACGGTGTTTTTTTCTTTTAGGTATCACCTTTTTTTTCTTTTAGCTCGACAGATGTTTCTCTTCTTACATACATCTTTATTACCTACGTGATATATATGTATTTTAAACTGTTGTATGTGTAATATTTTATGTCGTTTCTATTCTGGTATGTAGGTGAGTATACTTACGAGTATTGTACTTTTTCTTTTTTTGACAACATTGGCAATATGCCCATTTGCTAAATATCTAATAAGCATTTAATTTAAAATTGCTGGACACATAGATAGCTTGAAGAACTAACAACCGATGGGAACGAAAGGGTCTTTAATGGCGACCCCATACGAGAAAACGTAGTGTAGGACGACCCCCCACTAGGTTTAGGGAGAAAGGGATTGTTAGCAGTGGAGTTTGACAGCCCCATTGTTAGCAATTTGCGCTATTAGGTCGACCTCCACGTGGTCCCCCCTTAAACCAGCGTGCTGAATTCCGAGTACATCACGATGGGCTAACTGACCTGCTTCATCCTCACCTATCATCCTTCACTGGTGCCCCACCGGTGTATACCGATAGCGCGGGTGGGGTTACCATTCCATTATCACCCATTAAAAACTAAAAAAACCCCCCACTAGGTGAAGTGACGACAGTGGAAGCAGGTGGCTTGAGACCGTTTCTTATGGCAGTATGGGAAAAGTTTATGTTCAGTAGTGGCCATATAATGACTTTTTTACCTAAATAACTTGTACCTACGTATATAATATAATCAGCTAAGTTTATGAATGATACTGAGCCCTGCCCGCGGCACCAGTATACGCTGGCAGGCACCAGTGAGCGATGATAGGTGAGAGTGAAAAGGCAGGTCAATTGGTCCATCGTGATTAATACACCTGGAATAAAGCACAATGGTTTCCAGGGGGGATCACGTGGAGGTCAACCTGACAGCGTATATATTACAAGTGGGCGGGTACACGTAGTTATTCTATTTGCTCTGCAGATTTATTTATATAGATACCTATTTAAAATATCATTAGGCCTTATAGCTACATTTATATTTACATATATAAGTTAAGCAAATTTCAATTTCATGACAAATACTTCATCAAACTTCAATTAATCCCCCCCCCCCCTTCCTTTCCCATATAAGTCCCTTATTCCTCTTATTTACCAATTTTCTTTACGCATTTCCAACGGTCCCTTCCGGGGGGAAAGGGATTGTTAGCAATGGAGTTCGACATTGCTAGCAATATCAGGTCGACCGCCACGTGGTTCCCCCTGGAAACCATCGTGAACAATTTTTGTTGAATTCGTCACGATGGGCTAACTGACCTGCTTCATCCTCATCTATCATCCCTCATTGGTGCCCTGCCGGTGTATACCGATAGCACTACCATTCCATTATCACCCATTAAAAAAAACGGTCCCTTCCTGTTTTCTTCGATTCCTTCCTCCATACCATAGGTAGAGGAAACCACCAACAAATGCATTCCCAAAGAGGGTTGGTTGACGTCAAACAGGCGGCCGGTCGTAAAACTATAAGCCGAATCTTTTTGTAATATGGATAAAAAACATATTACGCCGACCCCAAATGATAATTGGGATAAGGGTAGGAAGGTGATGATTAGATGAAGTTGATGATGATTAGAATAGATAATTCATTTAATATATAGGTAAGTATATATATATAAAGAGGTACATTTTTTTTTATACCACTTAGAATGGCAAACAAGCTGACGGTCCACCTGATGGAAAGTGGTACCCGTCGCCTATAGACATGAGCAGTACCATGGACATAACAGAGTATACTGTTTCGCCCATGATACTCCCTGGTTGAAAACTGCAAAATAATTGACAAGTATTTATTTGTATTACTTAATATTATGTTTTATAGGGTCCCAATTATTTGTAATTATATATCTCTACATATTTATAAAACTGTAATATATATATATATATATATATATATATATATATATATATATATATATATATATATATATATATATATATATATAAGTAGGTATAATTAGACAGAAACCATTGTAAAAACTATGCGAATCATTTGGTCGATCATATAACAATCCTGCCTAATGATGGACGAGCAAATATTTGGTATGATTTATGATACGTGTTCTGTTGACAAGTTACTTGCATATACTGTACACTGAGACATGACAATCCACTTCACATGTATTGTCTTAATTCACATCGACACCTACTAGTCATATTTGTCTGCTAGTCTTTATCATTAACAGTTTCATCTCCCATATTTAGAACTAACAAAATTTTTCAACGTGCCTCCCACCAAATTGTTTATAATTACTCCTCTCCATCCAAAGGTTGCCTGGAAGAGATCGCTCTTAGCGATAAGGTCGCCCATTGTTTTCTTGTGATTATTTCTTGTAATTATTTATATTTATAATAAGTTTACTATTGTATTCTTTTGGAGGAGACAATAAAGAGTATCTATCTAGGTGGAATATAAAATTTTTTGCCATTCGATATTTAATAAAAATGTTACGATAAAATATCGCTCTGTTACCATCATAATAGTTGTTAACTGCCCACTAGTGAACGTAGGCTTCTCCCATAGACTGCCATAAGGAACGATCCCAAGCAATGTGCATCCACCGACACCTTGCAATGAATTCGAGGTCGTTATTCCATTTAGTGGGGCGCGGGGGGGGGAGTAGTCTTACGCTGTGTGTGTCTGGCTTATTCCATGCCAGGACCATACAGTTTATTAAAAAACTAATAACAATCCCGTTTACCATCAGACGGGCCGTATGATTGTTTCCCAAAAAATACACATTATCATCGTCATTTCAGCCATTATCCGTCCACTGCTGGACATAAGCCTCCCCATAGACTGCCATAAAGAACGGTCCTGTGCCACAAAAATACATATAATAATACAAAATTAAATATAATAAACAATCAAACAAATATTTAAAATTAATAAATGTAGAAAGAGGAAGCTATCTTCCTTTAATACGTAATATACCTATTAAAATACGCCGTGTGGTCCCGCCATAGAACGGACCACCCCATCCTTTCTCGTAGATATCGTAAGAGGCGTAACAGAACTAAAAACGTCGAGGAATGGGCAACAGCGTTCCCTCTTAAAACATCACCAAAACTGCGATTGTCTACCCGCTTACCAAGCGTGGCAACTACTGGCAAAACCCTCCAAGGGGGGAGGCTTATGTTTAACAGTGGACAGTTAAAGGCTGATCTGATGATAATGATATACCTGAGAGGCATTCGGTCACGGCAATAAACCAGCGCATGGTTATTTTGTGTTTAATCAAAATTAATGAATAACTATTTTTAATTTATTTAAAGTTTTAAAAATAATACAACTTAGTCGTGTTATTTGTAAGTTTGTCGATTAAATGTACAACTCTAATGAAACGGAAAATACTGATAATAATAAATTGAAAAACACCAAATTTCTTGGACAAAAACCGCGGTGACAATCACTTGTTGAGAGACTTTAGATAGATACAATTTAAATACATTTTGAATCTTAATATTGTATGATAAGGCATAAATTTGTACAAGTTTTTGGATCGCTTATGAAATAATGGGCATTATAATGAGGTTGGACGTGTTAATGCTCAAGACGAAAGAGATAACGTTATGGGTCGGCGATATTCGTAGGGATGGGAAGTATGGGATGGAACAATATCGATAAAATTATAAAGGGGAAATATAAGTACAGGTATAGAATGGTTATGAAAAATTCGAAAAATAAATAGAATTAAACAATATGTTTTATTGAAAACAGACAAAATGAAAAAAAAATGATATACGATAAATCGTATTTTTAAGTAAATTGTTAATAATTAAAATACATTTTCTCAAGATTTAATATTTTGAGGTTCTCAATTCGATATATTTTTTCTCGTTATTTTTATTTATTTATTGTTACCTGCAGTGTACAGACAATTAAATTCCAATTTATTTTATTTTAATTTTAAATGCATTTTAATAGCTCCTTTTTAATTGACAATGTTTAGTTCCGTAGTTGTAATATGTTAAGTTTATACAATTGTATTCAATGTTTTTTATACGTTCATACAGAAATAAATTAAGAATTAACGATAGGTACCTACTCTATATTGAAGATGAATATTCCAGTTAATAAAAAAATTTAAAGTTGATAACAGTTTGACTTTTTTGCGTATGAGAAAAAAAGATTCTTTAATTTTAAACTCTAATTTCAAATTTAATGATGTTTATATTTATATGTTTTAATTTATTAAAATTTATTTATTTATTTATTTAATACTTTATTGTACACACGAATTATACATAAAAATGTACAAAGATATAAAGGCGAGCTTAACTCGAAAAGAGTTCTCTTTTTAAGAATAAGAATAAGAATAATTATTCTTATTCTTAAAGAGTTCTCTACCAGCAATACTCAGAGTAGAAAGAAGCATCAATGTCAGCGGGTAGAGCGGTGTAAAAATTAAGTTTAAATATTAAATAAATACATTTTTTATATAATGTTCATAAATAAT